CGATCACCCTCATGAAAATTTCAAAAATTTCGAAAAATGGTCATTCGCTCAAAATACCTCATATGCGTGATTCCTGTATTCAACTCATCGAGCTGGATCACAACGTAGAATGTAGGTTCTCAACTCAAATTTGAGAACCTGCATTCTACCCTGTGAAGTGAGTGCCTTCCCAGAATTGTACACCACCTACTTCTCGAAGACATTCATACAATCTACAACCTCGAGAAAAGAAACATCGGTAGATTCACCGAACTTCTTTTTTTTTTTAGCTTGCTCCTTCATCAGACACAGTCTAGCTTCTCTCTTCTTGTTCAACAAAACCTACACGGAAATAGCTTGCTCGACTTTTCCGTTATCTGGGCTGGAAGCTTTACCCAGCTCTCCTTATTTGAAGCTCTGATGGTAAGATGCTAACTGTATATCGTGCCAGAACTTCCTCCTAACTTTTTTTTACCTGAGACGTAGCTCATCACGAAACTCTGAGAGATGACAGAAAAATATTTGAAGGTGGATGGGAGAAATGTGGTCACCGGGCAAGCAGTCCAATTGGTTACTGAGAAAGAATACAGTGTGTTGAATATAGTGCAGCGGTGAGACTACTTCATGAAAGCCCGAAAATTACCTTTCGAACAAATTGAAGAACCCTTTCCATCTGCTCTTCACTCACAGAAACAAAGTGAATGGCGAAAATATCAAGATTCTTACTTGAGCACCTGACTCGTAAAATTGGACGCTTTACCCAGTGAATCTTATTCAGCACAGGAGAGAAGCAGCAAGTCTGTAAAAAAGAGATGATAGGCCGATAAGTTGTAAAGTTGATTGCTAAAAACTTGCCAATCAAGAACTCCGTCCTCATTACCTTACCCAAGATAAGGCCGCTCCTTCGAAACACTGAATCACATAAGACACTTTATAAACTTTTTACGAGCACATCACGATAGCGACACTTTGTTCGTCACATAACTACTCTAGGTAAGAGCAAATGCGCAATTATAAAATTCTAGCCATTCATTTCTCAGCCTCTTGATGTTTCAGATTTCAGAAAAAAATCGCTTGTTCGCGCTGGGAATCGAACCCTTGCCATGGATGTGAAAAACATAAATTCTAATCTCTAGTTCTAATATAACAGGTATCAGTAACTTGCGAGCCGTCAATACAACATCACCCGTTACTTTATAACAATTGACTAAAAACGCTGTTAGTGGCTGCATTATCAATTCAAGTCAATAAATCAATACTTAAGCCCATGTAAAAGGGGTAGAAACACATTCTTATGTCGAAAATGAACCACATGTGATGAAGAGCCACGGATTCGTCCTAGTAAGGAGTTTCCTGGCGGGAAAAGGGTGCCTTTGACATGCCAGTTCAAATGGGCTAGTATTTTTGCAACACAGCTTGGCCGAGCGAATAAAAATACTTTCGGAAAAAACCACAGAGAACTGGAGGCTCAGAGGGATCCCAATAGCTACGGGGAGCAGGGGTTTCCAAACCGTCGAACAAAAATTACTGGGTTTGGGGTATCTCTTTTCACACCCACTCCCNNCCCATGGCGATAGATCTATCCTTACTTTCTTGTCAACAAAATATTTCGTCCCCTTCAATTGAGGCTATTCTTTGGATGAGAGAGGGCAGAGAAGTGAATAAGGATAGATAGACGAGATGCGCTTAACCGGCAAAGATAGGTTGAATGCTGAGAAAGAATGGTGTAAGTTCAACGTGAGCTCACAACTTTATTGCAAAAAATATACAATAATTTGTATTCATTTAAACGACACTTCCTAAAATCACAGCTCCACTTGCTTAATACTTTGAAACAACCTCTTCATAGAACATTCCTTATCAAAAGTTTGGAATAATCCATCATGAAAAGGATGCCATGTTTTGGAGATTTTGGAGATGAAGTAGTACCCCCCCCCCCTTTCTCTCCACAAAACACAATCGTTTCGATTGATAACAATTGGTTTACCTTTTTCTGTGCTGTGAGTCCTCAGGCAAAAGTAAGAACAGTACAGAGGTGCAAACACCCACCTTCAGCGACGACATGTCTACGGCTATGGGTCAACCTAATCCGTGAACTGTATAAATGTCTACAGGTGTCAATGTTTTTTATGGGACATAACGATTAGTGCTACACAGTTTGGCTCTACAATACTTTCTGATCATCCTATCTTTGGATAATAATTTTAGGCCCTATTTGTGTCCTAGAAGTTTGTACTAAGCACTATACACATAGGTTGCTCAATTAGATTTTGTAGCATTTGCAAGATAAGTGACAGCATTTCGTTCAATTTCATATACTCTCATGGGATAGCAATTGCACTTACAAAGCAGAGTTCTGTATTTAAAGAATACAATTGATAAGCTCTTTTTCTTTCTTTTTACTTTTTATTGTCTCTCCTTTACGAAGACATGGGTTCACTTCGTTCTCTCTCTGCTCCTTTCAAGACAGCATTTCCCATACTTTCCCCCTCTCGACTACTTTTCAGTTTAACTGTGAGAAGTGAACAACCATGGCCTAAACACTCGTTGGTTTTCCCCGCAACCAACCTCTCTGATCTTTTCATCAATCAAGCTTCCACCTTTTTGGGAGGGGTGGGGGGGGGGGGGGGGGGGGGGGACAAGTGTGTACAAATAAACTGTTAAAATTCGACGTGACTGCCTTCAACGTTTCACGGTATTATTTTATTATTGATTCTAATCTTTTAAAAGAAATGAGTGAAGTAGTTCGTACTTATCTCCAATTAATTTGTCCTTCATTTAGATACACAATGATTATTTAGAATTGCTCAAAGGATTTGTTCATGCTGCACTAAGTTCATAGATTGAAATAATACAATTACAGCCACCTGCCAAGATGTTCGATATTATTATGAAAACACTGGATGCTATCTGCAGTTTAGGTAAGTTTGAATTAAAAAGACCACACATAGTGGAAAGCCAGTAGCAACTGTAGCTTGTGTATTTGTTTAGTGAAAAGGTCTCACTGCTTTGGAAGCCAACGTGATGTCCACGATCATCTCATGGAACAGGGATCTGGAATTGGAGTGAGTGCGGGCTGGCATGATTATTATTACTGTTTGGTATAATAATATTGAGTAATTTTTTGCCACTGTTCAGGTGTATCGGAATACAGTTATCTGCGCTGATTGGGCTTATAGCCTGCAACCGTCCCAATGCTGGAGCCAGTCCATGAAAATCGAATATGTTCAGCAGGACTAATTGAAGCTGTTACCACATCATAATTTCATAAACCCTATCGATCACCTTTGCGAAACATTTTGCTGCTCGTTGAAAACTTTTTTTATGTCCCAAAGTATTACAGGTTCCACTACTTACTATTCTTGTATATATTTTTGTATTATTCATTGCTCTCATCGTGATATCATAACAATAAAGCTCAAGAGTTTGCACTATCGCCATTTTAACTACAGTACTACGAATATTAGTTTCTCAAAGCTGAGAAAAAGGACAAGTAGTCGCTCTCAGTCCAATCACAGCACAAAGGAATAGGGCTTAGGATAGAGAAATAGGGCTATGATAAATACCGTCTCGGCTCTGGCCACGGCAAATTGTGTGGTGGCACGATCACCATTGCCAGGCCCTTCCAGCCCAGTGGTTGTAGACAAGGTGAACAGTCTGATATTACTGCATCGCTGATGTTTCCTGTCCGAAGTATCGGCGATATCCCGCTCAATACCAACCACCAATCATCTCAGGTATCCACTAAAACAATTCGTGCTCAACAAATCAATGACTCATCTGACCATAAGCGATGATGTCAATGTTTGCCGAGCACGGATTTGCTGAACGTGGAGCCCTTGGGGAGTTCAAAGTCCTGACGATCGAGAAATCATGTCTGGTCGCTCATCTTTACCCATTCTGAGTCGCGAATACGATTTTTGGGGTGACGAAGGTACTATAACAGCGATTACTATCAAAATTCCAACGACTTCACCATTGTAGAGGCCTTTCATTTCAAAAACAAGGGAAGTTCTCTAAACAGTATGGGGCATCTTTTGCCCTAATATGCAAATGATGGGGATCATTGAAAACGAGTAGTGAGCACAGAACATGCCGCCCAATGTCTTTCATACGAATCGTTTGGACACCCTCTGATAGGCTCCCACTATTGTAACGGAGAAGAAATTGTAACTCTTTCAAAGAGCTTCAAGTTATGGCCATGAATCTATCGAATTTAAGTATACTAATACTAAGTATTAGTATACTAATACAATCTCGCAATTCAAATAATCTGCCCGTCTATATGAGAAGGATTTTTCAGACAGATGTTACCAATTTTAGGGATAACTTGATCACTTTCGGCCCACTCCTTAATGTTATCGGTAGGCGTTGACAGACAGATCAATCGCACACTCGCAGTCGCACATTGTAGGGGAGATGAATATACGGAATAACGAACTATGAAGGAGGACTAATGCGAGTTTGAAGTCGTGTACTAAGTTATCCTAGCTGGAACTTTCGTGATTGTTGAAACTTACAGACGATTTACTGGACGTTTTCTAACTCAGTAGCTCTCCGTCAACTATGATGTAAGCATAGGTGGAACAGCTTTGTCAAAAATCCTACCCCATAGGTGGTAATGTCAATGAAAATGACCCATTTCTCACTCCTTTTCAGAGAGCACAGTGCTCTCTGTTACTCATTGTCAGAGCACATGATAAGAACGAGGAGATGACGCTGATAGTATGAAGATTGACAAAATACATCAGACTTGGAATAAGCAAACGTGATGCCAGTTACTCAGTAGTGAATCAGACGCGAATGGAATTTCTACGAATCATCATGTAGCTTACATTGTACTTTACTGAGCCCTGTAAATATTGAATCAGACTGACATCCTTCGACATCTCGCCAACCATCGATCGATTCGGATACATTCCCTTTCCTTCATGTTCTGCCTTACTCAAACTCAGAAGATAGCCGAGTAGTCGAAGTCAAAGTCACTATTTGAAGCGGAACTTGTCTGGCACTATGTAGTTGAGCCTTTCTCCTAGTTTGAAAGGTGCCTATCGCTTTTCTGATGCATTTTTTATAGGGACTTTCAAAACACAGGTGAAGTTACGTAGAAACGATCGATAATGTGAGAGACCAGGAAGCATATACCGCCCGCCATGCTTATATCGTGTGTGGGTGTCCACTGGCTACAGAAGATGAAGCATTTCGATAAGTGCTGCCGAATTGTCGATCAGATTTTTCCGTTACACACTGATTCTTTCCAAAGTCATTGGGTCTTCCTCATGCCGAACCACATATGCTTCCTGACAAAGGATGCCACCAAGGCATATGGCGCTTTGGCTGTAATTATCTGCCCCCCCCCCCCCCCCCCCCAATAATTCTGAATGCGCATATAGACGAATAGGAAGAAGTTTTAGAAAAGTTCTACATTTTCCCCGGATAGTTAGTGGCGAGAAACGATCAGATGGACTTCTTCTAACAAGATCATCGAAGCTAGCGATTTGCACGTGCATGTGCTTCAGCCTTTTTCAATGATGTGTTTTCAGAGGCTTGCCTTTAGTCGTGATTCACCACAGGTTCCTCGAAACAAACGCGGCTTCCAAGAATTTTGCTTTTGTAACGCTTGAAATTCGATTCCTCTATTTGTGATCAGGTTCTCTGATGTAATTCCTGTCCCTTCACAGCACGAAAGGTCTTTTCCCATCATCGTCCATGTCGAATCGGAGCGTGAGCAGGCATCGTCTGAGAACAACGACGGCTCGCAGCCCAGCTATCGACCGTCAAAACTTGTAGATTGATCGATTCGAAGCACCCTCGCTCAGCATCAAAGACATTAATAGTTCGCAGCCTTTCAGAATGCCATGGAAATAAATGCAATTTTGAAGAAATGACCATATTGAAACATGCGTGGGGTAGGCCGTTGAAGAAAAAATGCTCTCTAAACTTTGCGGTAATATAAAAATTTCAAAAAATATTAGAAGTGAAACTTAAATTTTATAAAATCTGCAAAACCAAATGTTGTGTGTTTAGTGAATACGACTTGCAAAATCAAAAACGGGCTTTGTTCAAAATAGCATATGCAATGTATTTCAAAAACAGCTGGAGAGTCTATTCATTTTTCTTCCAGCTGAAGAAGCCTAACTAAGGACTCTACACACAATTTACTGCATTTCACTTTCTTCACCTTCGGATTCTGTGATGGTCATTGATCATATTTGTTACGAAGATTTCGAGAGACTTCACTCTCCGAGATTCATTTTTTTTCTATAGGAAAGCTCTGCCATCGCACTGGAAATTCCCTGGTAAGTAGCGCTTTAGTCTTATCGTCCTTGAACAACCTTAGGTTTATGAAATATAGGTGCTAAAGATTAAGTTCACCTCGAGCGAAAGAATTCCTTCTCCTATGTCACCTCCCCTCTTGAGCGCATACTGGTTGTCATGTAGATACTCAATTTACGATAACGGTTTCTGATAAAAAAATCTCACCTCAACTTTCTCTCACAGCCACCAGAAAGCATATGACTCCAGAGATCATCGATTCTGCCCATGAACAAAAGTGACAAGCCATAGCCATCGCTCTATATATTTTCGATGTTCTCGCTGAACAAGCCACGATCGAACGGTTCTCACCCGTCCTGTGGTCCTCTGAATCAGTCACCTCCTTCCTTGTTGGAACTCGATCAGTGAAAGAATTCTTCATAAAGGCTTCTTTCGTCAACTTTTGATTCTTTGCAAACAGCAAATAGTTTCAGTACAGTGGAAAACGTGGAAATAAAGAAAACGATTCACCTGTTTCCTGATCATAACGAAGGACATAGAATGGTGCCGAGTCCGGATCTAGTCATATACTTGTTAGTTACGACTAAGACACGTACTCTGGAACATTCCAGAACCTGATCGGTTGCGTGTATAGGTGAATGCCTGTCTCATCATCAGCTGTGACTCATTTCCGAGTTCGGCTCTAGTCATATGCATTTCAGCTATGACCACGAAGCGAACTCAGAAACACTTGTCAACGCGTGACCGGGAGACCGTCGAAGTTTGCCAATCGGAATAGACGAGTAGACGGCACAGTTTGTCCTGTTTTAGCAGGGCTCAGTAAAATGCTGTGATATCCTATTTACTAGATAGCAACAGCATCTACTAAGCCATGCTAATATTCACACAAACACATGTGCCCCAACATGTGGAATATGGGCTGACGTCCAGAAACAGGTTGTAATGCTAGTAACAGCATAGTAGTGACGAGAAACTGAAGGACATGCCATTGCCGTGTCGACACCACCTATTTATGTGCGATTTTGGCGCGCGATTCCGCTCTGTGACCGCCCACTTTTTTGTGCGGCCTGCTGCCTGACCATCGGCAAGTAACTAGTAGCCTTTGATACAGATGAAAGATGAGTGTCACCTATGGTAATGATTTTCATGTGAGTATGACCCCCAGTGAGATGAATTGTCACCTCAAATATCTGAAGTGATTAATGGTCAAATTGTTTTGGTTTGCTGGACAGTATAGCTGAACTTTTGAAGAGAAAAAGAGGAGGCCGGTAACATCAGTGTTGGTCGAATGTTTGACCATTATAAAGAACTTTTAATTTAGCGGAATTCCATTTAATCAAAGCGACACTCTTTTAAGAGTAACATGAAATAACTTGCACAGGCCTTACCGTTCAAATGATTTGTCACTTTTTGATCTTTTTTCTAGAATTGTTTCATAGATCCTTTACTAAGTAACATTTGTACTGGTATTGTGTACTGTTCAAGAATTTTATAGGACCCTCATTACTACGGCTATTGTGGTAGATATTCTTGATAAATATCAATACTAGAAGCTCTGAAGGTGATCGTGACTGTGAGAAAAACTTTGATTTCCTCGGTGGTCATATCGATTCCTTGCTTTTCACCGCTGTGCGAGTCAGCTTCCCTTGCCAGAACGGCGTGTTTTAGTTTCACAGTGAAACTGAACCATCTAAGCTGTCACAAAGGGCGGTTTATACATATCACCGAGTAAATTACTTTGTTTGATAACCAGATTAACCGAATTAAGAAACAAGGATGCGAATGTTTGAAAATGCCGGTCATTACTGGAGTCTATAGTATTTATCCCCGTTATTTTTCCCACGCTTTTCACCCTTTCATACAGTTGTCATTGAAGCCCGGTGTCGTGAAAGCGTACAGAAAGCAAACATATCGCATCGCAATACCTCGGCTATTGTGTACCAAAACTGAAGTGGACATCTCAA